GCTTTATGGACATGCCACAACCTTGCTTGCAGAAAAGTGAAGATTTAAAACACTTACTGAAGATCAAAGACTTCAGCCTTCGAAATGTGTCACATCTTAACATCAAAAAAACAAAAACCCTTACTTAACACTGGACCAATAGGTAGCATTATGATAGACAAACTGAACTTGTCAATGATTTAATTTTACTTGGATCTAGAATGAACATTCATGGGAGGAGAAATCAAAAGATGTATTACATTGAGAAAATCAGCTTCGAAGACCTCTTCAAAGTGCTAAAGAGGAAAGATGTCAGTTTAAAGACTAAGATGTGCTTGATCCAAGCCATGGTATTTTTAATTGCTTCCTACCCAACTGAAAGTTGGACAGCAAATATGGATGACCCAAGAATAGCTGCCTTTGGGTTTCAGTGTTGGAGAATAATATTGACTATCCCATGAACTGTCAAAATAACAAGTAAGTCTGTCTTGGAGAAAGTGCAGTCAGATTACTCCAGTGTCAAGGATGATAAAACTGTTTCAGACTCTGGGCATGTTGTCAGGAAGGGCCAATCTCTAGAAAAACACATCATGCTGGGAAAGGTGGAAGAGGTCAAATAAAAAGACGACCTTTAAGATGGACTGACACAGTGGCTGTAACAATGGGCTTAAACACACTGGAGATCATAAAGTTGGTGCAGTTAAGGCAAAGATTTGATCTCTTGTTCATAGACCCTCCTAGGGTCACTGAGTCATGGCTAACAAGGCTGGACTTACCAAGAAGAAGGAAAACCCAAGGCCCTTGATGAGATGGATTGATTCAGTGACTGGGGTAATGAGGGTAAGTATGTCAGCGACAATACGATTGGCACACGATAGAGCAGGGCTCAGAGCTATTGTACTAACAGTCACTATGAGTCACAGGCAACTTGATGGCACATTAACAACAATAAGAAGCATCATTTTAGTTGCATGTGATATTAATGATATTGTTTCACAATTTCCACATTCTTTTGGATTGTATTTCTTGAGAATGGGAACAAATAAGCATCTCTTTCAGTCACTTGGCCAGGCAGTTGTCCAAATTTTCTGGCATGGACTGGTGGATGTAGCCATGTCTGCATCTCTTAGGTGAAACATGCCATTGTTATGTCATCAATTTCTGGGACCTTACTTTTTTTGCCAATGCTTTTAGTGCAGCTTTAACTTCTTCCTTTATTACCATTGGCTCTTGATCATATGGTACTTCCTGAAATATTTCAGTTCTTTTTTGGTACAGTGATTTTGTGTATTCCCTCCATCTTCTTGTGATGCTTCCTTGAATCATTCAAGACTTTGTCCATCACAACTCTTAGTATTGCAACTCAAGGCTTGTGTTTTTCATATCTTTCAGCTTAAGAATTGCTGAGTGAGCTCTCTTTTAATTCTTTGATTCAGATCTTTGCATATTCCATTATAATACTTGGTTCTTATTCATAATTTGTGGACAGAATAGTGGAGTACTATCTTTATTAGCAGTAATATGCATGTTTTTATTGTTCCTTAGGAGTAAATATACTTATTAAAGAAAGTAAATGCTTAAAAAAAAAAAAGAAAATCTGTTAACCTAGATATCATGGTATCTACAAAGTTAGACGAAGGCTTGCACTGCAGCAAGTGGTAAGAGAGACATGGTAATAGAAATTTTCTCGGCTAAGTTTGGTAGAAATAATTCAGCAGCAAAGGAAAGAACAAAATCCAGGAAGTCTCTCTTAAAAGGACAAGAAAAGTTTTCTGTGAATAGAAACTTAAAGGGCAGCTCAGAATCATGATACGGTTGGGAACAAGGCTCCATTATATCTAACTCATATCATTCAGAACAAAACTTGCTAGTACAAGTCAAACCATAGGAGTGAAAGCTCAGAGCCACCGTCTTCCTGATGCTGTTTTCCTGGAGGCATAATTTCTCCCCAAGTTCATTCAAGGTCAGGTCCCAGGACCTTTTGCGTTGACCCATCCCTTCTCTGCCCCTTTCCTTTATGCCAGCAAGACAGGGAAATCTGGCAGTATATTTTATGGACTGTTGGATTACATTGAGAACACTTATTCTGGCAGCTATCTGTTATCAAGTTTACTCATCCTTGAATCCAGCAAATATTTACTCCCTAACAACAACAACAATGAAGAAAAGCAGACACGGTGGGCTGCTAAGCAAAAGGTCAGTGGTTGGGATCCAGCAGCTGCTCCTCTGAATACAGACGAGGCTGCCCATGTCAAAAGATTTGCAGCCTCAATGAGAGGGTTGCTATGAGTCAGAACTGATTCAGTAGCAGTGGGTTTGTTTTTAAAAAGGCAAAAAAAAAGCGCCTATATTTTCATACTGATATATTGCAATGATAACCTTTTGCAATAAACTGTGTGAAAAGAAATGTATTATTAAAAGAACTTTCTGTACTGGGGGAGGGGTGGGCAGGGAGAAAAGTGCAACAATGAATGAATGGAAATCCAAAGTCTCTATAAATTTTCATTAAAATTAATAATAAAAAATAAAAACACTTTCACCTGTTTCTATTAGATGACTACTGTTGTTGTTGTTGTTATGTGCCGTCGAGTCGTTTGCGACTCATAGCGACCCTATGCACAACAGCCCGAAACCCTGCTCTATCCTGCGCCAACC